ATATTTAAAACTATTTTTCAAGGTTGCACTTTTAAAAAGATGAAATTGTCCAGAAAGCTGTTCCAAACAAAATTTCTTTTTTTTTTTACACTTGTGTAAACAAAATGGCAAATAAAACCTGTCTAAGTCTAATTTAAAAATTTGCCACTGAGGCTACTGTTTGTCATTAAGCCAGCTACTAACAACTAATCCATGTTCCCGGTCCTTGCTCCTTCCCAACTGCCAGTACTGTTCAGATGTATAGCACTTTTATAAGCTGTGGCCATTTTGCCATAGCTTAGATTTTTCATACCAATTTGAGGTTTTCGAATTGAGCAATAGTTTGAATACCCCCAGTAAACCAACTCCTGTGATGCTGCTTGTTTGTCAGATTTGTGGGTTTTCAATAAACATGGCCAAACAAAGGTTCCTAGCCCAGACTTTGACTGGGACCTTCTAAAATCGTATTCTGGTTCCTCTGAGCTATTTAGTCATGGACTTGGTAGTGTGCTTTAAACTGATTTATGGCTGCTGGACAACTTCTCCAGCATGAGGTCCTCTATAAATGTATGGTAAATGGCCTAAAAGTAGCTCTTTACATCTACAGTAAATCTGTTCTTGATTGCAAATTATAAGTTCCTGGTGTATTTTTATTTTTTTTTCTCCCTTGGTACGTCATTTAATTTTTTTTCCCCAAAACCTAATATTTATCATGCATGGATGTTTTCCCATTCTGGTTTGTGATAGCTGAGAAGTATTACTAAAGTAACTGAGAATTATACGTATATGTCCATGTGAGACATGGTGACCTCACATCACCCAATTTTAAATGCAAATTCTAAAAATAGATTGCATAACAAAATAAAACAACAAGGATTCTGTTGCCTATGTAAATTTTGTCACAAAATGGTCAATAATTAGTAAAGCAGTCATAAGGAGGAAGTACAGTAGCTGGACACAGACAGGGATGGGCTTTCTCCTTTTTACTTCACATCATTTATTTTCTTGCTGAAACTAAACAGAATTAGCGACCTGTTACATAAGCTACAATGTATTATAGTCTCTTCACTAAATAGATTTTCTGCTCTGAACAGAGATGTGACATACAAATCTAAATGTTAAGGAAAATAATTTGTTTTGGAAAAAACTGAGAAAAAAGGAGCCATGGTTTAGAAAAATCTCCAAAAGAGCAGCACCGATTCACTAGTTTATAACCCAGTGATCTAGGCAGAAAAGATTAAAAAAAAAAAAAAAACTCTATTACAGAGCCAACCACTACTTTAGTTAGAATTTAGACTTGTGTACCTGATAATAAATTAGATTGCTGTTTTACAATCATAACTACAACTATTTATAGGGCACCTTTTAGTCTATCTCAAAGTGCTGTGAACAAAAGTAACAGAAAAAAAAATAAAACCATGTTTCATATATGGTTATGTTTTA